CCCCCCCCCCCCCCCCCCCCCAATCTTGTTCTGCCTCTAAGCAGTTCTGCTTGAACGTTAAAGGGTTTAGTGGGTTCAACCAGCCCTGAGGGTTAGGTTCTCCACTTTGCCTTTGTAGTCTGTGAATTGGCTGTTTTCTGTGAGGTAATGGGGAGAGGACATAAATCTAAGCAGATGCCCGGTCATCTAGTGAGCGGTCCATCCTAATGCCTGATTTATACTCATGCGTTTTGTGCAGGCATATATAGTAGTGCGGCGGATTGCTTGTGGCATGTAACTTCTTTTTGATTTGGACTCGCGATTTTCAAATCCTTCGTCAGGCATTCTTCGATTTAGTTCCAGATAAGTTCAACCTAACAGAACTCCATGTTGTCCAATCAAACTTCCGCGGCGTCAGCAGTGCCTGGCGCGTCATCACATTTTTCCGGAGGTGTGCTGCACGTTTCTGCGAGTTCCGCAAACCATCTCTGCGGCTCTGTGGAAGCTCCGCACAAGCTTTTCTTCAACATAAATTAGGCATACATATTGACATGTAAATCACTGCTCTGTGAGGTACCATGCATGTTGTCTAAGTTGTAGTAGATTTAATTGGATGAAGTGTTGGAGGATGAGCCCTGTACCTGATACGAATATTTGTTTGATCAACTTTTCTCAACAACAATTTGATGGATTGCCATGCAATTCTCTACAGATATTTATGGTACCCAGAGGTACCACATCTCCTGACTCATTCTATGAAGTATCTCAACATCTGCAAGACGGATTGGCACACACAACTTTGGTTCCTAGACGATGTGTTGTAATGATTATGGTGATCCTCCCACTTTTCCTTCAGCTCCATGAGGTTGATATTTGTGATTTAGAGTCAAATGTCTTGACAATTATTCAATGGATTGACACGAAATTTGCTCAAGACATTTGTATTCCCCTCAGGATGAAGTGAAACAACATTCGTGACAACTTTTTATACAGCCCCATCATCATGTCAAAGTTTCCATTTGTCTAATACTTTGGTATATGCTGGCGATAGCATTTAGCTCAAAGTACCGCTGTGCCTCAGAACAGCCTCAGAGAGTTGCTAGCGTGGCTGTAGTCTTGTTCTGTGAAGAGCTCATATCAGCCCTGGATAAAGTGACAAAGTCCAAGCCGGTCTTTTAGTGCAAATAGAAGAACTATAAACTCTACACCACTCTCAGTGTCGACTTACATTTTCTCTTACCAACTACATCAACACTTTCTAAAAGCACTGTAATGACACATAAGGCTTCTGGGTTCGATTGGCATCAGGAGTCATCATGACTCAGACCCAGACCCTTCCTTCCCAGTCATGGCTCAAATCCTCTGGCTGCAGTTTATGCCCAACTCTGGGCTTCTCACTCTCCCTCCATCCCGCTCTACCGTGAGATCCTGTGACCTCGTGGAGCAAACGGCCACCAGCTTGTTTGACAATTATAAGTGGCATACTTGCTCACCCCTGTCGTGCTCCGGCGGAACGTTAAGTGGACCTCTCAGAAGTTTTAATCTGAAAATCTATGTGAAGATGATGAATTCCTCAGAGGATTGGAACCTAAAAGAACCCTTGTGTCCCATTCCCACAACACCTGGCTGGTGTAATCTTCCCTTTCATACATGGGATCATTGAGACCATAGACCTAGTGAGCCTCGGAAGGTCTACGGTTACAGTAAATGAGTATAGGGCGAGGCTGTAACCCAGATTTTCTACCTGGTCATAAACTACTGTGAGTGGGTGTAGCTGGAAACATTTGTCATGGGATTGACCT